GACGGCCCCCGACGAATGCGACGACGACGGCGCGCGCCGACGACCGTGGGCGTCAGCGGCGGCGGAGGGGCGACGACGAGTTCGCCCCGTGGCGTACGACCGGCTGTGGTTGCGGCGGCGGCGGCTGCGACGGCAACGACGACGAGAACGACGACGACGTCGAAGATGACGACGACGACGACGACGAGAACGCCGACGACTGCGACGGCGACGGCGACGACGACGGCGATGGCGATGGCGACGTCAACCGAGACGGCGACGACGACGGCGACGGCGACTGCGACGGCGACGACAACGACGACGACGACGACGACGACGACGACGACGACGACGACGGCGGCGCGCGGCGAAGGCGACAACGACTGCGAGCGGCGACGAGCGACAGCAGCAGCCGCGGCGGCAGTGGTGGTGGCGTCGACGGCGACGACGACAATGACGACGACGATGACGACGACGACGACGACGACGACGACGAGGGCGCGTGACGTCGGCGACGACGACGGCGACGGCGACGATAAACGGCGGCTGTGATGGCGAAGGGGACACCGAAGGCGGTTGCGACGACGACGACGACGACGACAACGAAAACGACGACGACGATGACGACGACGACATCGACGACGACGACGACGACGACGACGACTGACAACGACGACGAGGCCATCGACGACGATGACGGCGGCGGCGGCGACAACGACCACAGCGACGACGACGACTACAACGACGACGACGACGACGACGACGACGAGGACGACGGCGACGCCGATGGCATGACGACGATGACGACGACGACGATAGGGGCGGTGGCGTGGGGTGGGGGGCACGGTCCACCCCGCGCCGAGCGCCCGCGCGCGGCGATCGCCCGCGAGCGCTCACGCCAACAGGAGGCGCTGGCGTTACACCTGCCCGCGCGAGTTTCTGACCTCGCCTCGACGGAGCGCGGGGCGGGGACACCGCATTACGCTCAAGTCGGGCATCTCCCTCTACAGGGGGAATCTCAAAAAATTGTCAAACACAAAAGTCTGGGGACCATTCGTCACCATGTTGGAGCAGTTTTGGGATATGTTTTGTGATGTGTCGTTCTCTTCGAAATCCGCCTGTGTCGGGGGCATGCCCGACCTGACCTTACGCGGGGGGGTGTGCGGGGTGGCCTCGGAAACCCCCCGCAACCTCCCGTGGCGGTGCCGCCTCGCGGGCCCGCCTGCCACCACCCAGGCCGCGCGTCCCGCGCAGCGGCCCCCTCGGGCCCCGGGGGCGCCCTCAGCGTCGACGGAAGGCAGAGCATCTCTGCATAGTACAGTGGACCCGCAGAGTAAGGATAGGCATCCCTCCCAAGGGTGCCCTTGCATCCTTGCTTCCTGGGTCCATCCTTGGACACTTTCGTTGGCTGCGCCCCGCTCGAAACGCTTCGAAATGGGCGTCCAAGGCCCTTGCACCCTTATCGCGCATCATTATTCTACGGGTCGACTGTACAGTGGGGGCGCGTATCAAGAAACCATATACTATTCGTCAGGGTATCCTGGGTGTCTTCGCTCCGCTCGCTGCACGGCGACTTCCCGCGGCCGTTGAAGGAGCTGCTGCGTTCAGAGTGCTCCAAGTTTCCCGTCAGGTGCATCTCACGCGCGGGTTTCAGGTGTGGGTTTCTTGCGAGGGTATCTTGCGTCCGCGCCCGCACTGTAGTGTTTTTGCTCGAACTCGCTGAGCAAGCAAGGATACAGCCAAGGCAGCAGAGTCTTGGCTGAGAGTACAATCATCGTCGCCAGAGCGCATGTGTGTTGCCCATTCCCCCTTCCCGCCCTGTTCCTCCTCGCCGTTCTCCTCGCCCTTCTCCTCCCCTCCGTCTTCCCAGTGCAGCCTCAGTTCCTCGTAGGCCTCCTCCGCGGGGAAGCCCGCCACCAGGAGCTTGCCTACCTGCTGGATCGTGGGCCTGTCCAGCAGCGCCTTCAGCGCGGCTCGGCCAGCCTCAGTGGCGCACGCCGCCCAGGCGAGTCGCCCCTCGCGCTTGCCGACGTGCTCCGTGAACTCGGGCTCGGGGTAGAAGGCGCCGTCGGGCGCGCGCCTGCGCTTCACCGCGGTGGCGCCCTCACGTCGCGGACGAGGCGTCTTCTTGTGGAGGCGGCGGGGCGGCCTTGCCGCCGCAGGCACTTCCCCGCGCGCCTGCGGTTCTGTGGCCTCTTCCACTGCCTCGGCGGCTTCCCCCCGCTCCGCCACGACCTCCTCCTCCAGCGCCGTTCCGACCCTCGATCCCGCCGCGGCCTCCACCACGGCCGCCTCGCCCTCCGCGGGCACGATCTGCTCCCCCAGCGCCTGCACCTCCTCCGAGTCCGCCGCGGCCTCGGCCTCGGCCACCTTGCCCTCCGCGGGCTCGATGCTGGTCCCCACCCCGCCGCCCTCCAACGCCTGGCGGGGCCCCAGGGCGAGGCCAGGCCCTGGCCCCAGTGGCCCTCGATCTGGCCGATGGCCGCCAGAAACCTGGCCGCCACGCGCCCCTCTGCCCGCACATGCTCGGCTCGCCACCCCGCAGCGGTGCGGTCCAGCCGAGATCGCCGCGGCGCCGCCCCGCCAGCAGCTGCCGACATGGCACTCCCGCGGCCCGCGGAGAGCGCGGCGCGCGGGCGCCCGTGGCGCGGACTCGCGGCGAGCCAGCAGGCTCGGGCCGAGATGGCGCAAAACCAACGACAACGACGACGACGACGACGACGACGACTACGACGACGACGACGACGGCGATGACGACGACGACGACGACGACGACGACGACGACGACGACGACGACGACGACGACGACGACGACGACGACGACGGCGCGCGGTGACGATCGACGTTGTCGACGGCACGACAACGAAGGCGCGCGACGACGGTGCGCGACGACGGCGGCGACGCTGGTGGCAACGACGACGACGACGATGTCGACCACGACGATGACGACGACGACGACCACGACGACGACGACGACGACGACGACGACAACGACGGCGACGGCGACGGCGGCGACGGCTTGCGACGACGACGACGACGACGACGACGACGACGACGACGACGACGACGACGACGACGACGGTCCGCGTAGACGGCCACGACGACGACGTGCGGCGATGATGACAACGACGGCGAGTGAGGACGGCGACGGCGATGGCGGTGCGACGACGACGGCGACTGACAACGACGACGAAGACGACGACGACGACGGCGCTCGTATACGACCACAACGACGGCGTGCGGCGGCGGCGGCGGCGACGACGACGTCGACGACGTCGACGACGACGGCGACGGCGCTCGGCGACGGCGACGGCGACGGCGACGGCGACGGCGACGACGACGGCGACGACGACGGCGACGGCGACGGCGACGGCGACGGCGACGTGGACGACAACGACGACGATGACGACGGGCGATGACGTCGGGCGACGACGGCGCTCGACGACAACCGACGATGGATGCGATGGCAGCAACGGCGGTGACAATGACGACAAGTTTTTCGTTTAGGATATGTTTCTTGACGTTGGAGGTTCTCGCCGCCACGGCCAAACGCACCTCGAGAGGTCGGCCAGGATGGATCCCACGAGGGCTTTGAGGACACGATTTCGGGCAAACCTTGGTCGGACGACGACAAAGACGGCGGCGCCGGAAGGGTCAACGGCGGCGACGACGACGGCGACGACAGCGATGGCGACGGCGCCAGCGCCGCAGCAGCGGCGGCAGCAACGGCGGCAGCGACGGTGGCGGCGGCGAAGACGACGGCGACGACGGCGGTGGCGACGGCGACGACGAAGACGACGACGGCTGCGGTGACGACGGCGATGTCGACAGCGGCGACGGCGACGACGGTGGCGCGCGCAGCGCCGCGCGCGCCGCCAGAGGCTGTGACGAGGCGGGCCCGGTCATCCCTGGGTGGATCTTGAGGACCCGGGCGCCAAGCTGCCACCGGCACGATCGGAGCGGAACCAGAAAGAATGGGGACGAAGACCAACAATAGTTATTGTCCGGGTTGGACCGGACTTGTTGTCGATGTCGCCGCGGGAGAGGCGTCGCTTGGCCAACAGCGACCAGTGTCGGTTTGGGCAACGTGGGCCGTCGGGGCAGCTTCCCCATTTGTCCCGCCCCCAGCTCGGGCGTGCCAAGTGCAGTCAGACATCGGGGAAGAGGTTGCGATGCGGGGTGCCTGGTGATCCCGGGGTGGATCCTGAGGATCCTTTCGACGTCTCAGCAGAAGTCGCGAGGGACTCACGACAGGCATTTACTTTCTCTCGCGAGCGCTGCCTCCGAGGGCCATATCCAGGCCCAGGGCTTTACACAGATTGACCCTGCGACCCAGGCACCAGCACAAGGAACATGATTCTGAACCTCGACTGGGCCCACCGCTGAGTGTAACTGGTAGCTGGTAGCGCGGGGCCTGCCAGCTCTGAAAAGCAGTGCAGTTGGGCTGACCTCAGTGCGAGATTGACCTGAGTCGCTCCCCCGCCCCCCCCACATTAGATTTAAGTCGGGCCTGTCCCTCTACAGGAGGAATAGTGAACAATAATAAAAAATAGTCTGGGGACGATTTTTTGTTATTGTTTGACTATGTTTGAACATGATTGGGGTCTTCCTATTTTTCGTCCAAAATCTACCTGTAGGAGGACACGGTCGACTTAACATTAGATCGGCGCTGTGCCGCGACTCGCCGAAGCTCAGCAGACTCCATCTGCTGGAAGTCTTCATCCTCGGAGTCCTGCGGCGGCACAGAGTCGACATAGACACTAGTGTCAAGGCAAGCCATGCAAGTGTCAAGATCAGTTGTCAAGGATGAACGACTTTTCCAAGAGCACCTTCGCATCCTTGCCCCTTCGGCCCATCCCTGGCAATTTGCGCTTGTCAGCCCCGATCGAGAAACGTCAACATGGCTTTCCAAGGCCCGTGCATCCTTACCACGTATCCTTACTATACTTACGTCGGGCATGTCCCCCTACAGGCGGATTTTGGACGAAGAAGTAAAACTAGTCAAACAATACTCCCGCGATGCTCGAAATTACTCAAAAAATCGACCCAAGAGTATTTTTGTTACTATTTTTGAACATTCCTCCTGTAGAGGGACATGCCCGCACGGGCTGACTGCAGAAAAACAGTGCAGTCCCGCCTCCCCGGAGGAAGCAGGTCCACACTCCGCCCGCCGAGCCGCGGTGGGCCAACGACGAGTTCACCCCCCTGCGTCCCGCGGCGGGCAGGGCCGCCGACCCGGAGGCCTCGCTGGCCTACCCGACCTTCCACCAGTGCGCGGACGAGTTCTTCGCGCAGCTGGAGGAGCTGTGCCTCCCAGGTGGGGTCGGAGCAGCTGGGGTCGGAGGAGCGCGCCGCGTTGGCGGCGCGGCGGGATGTGGAGCCCGTATTGCTTCACGCCGGCGTCGCAGACGTCGACGGTGCATCGCCGGTGCATCGCCGATGCATCGCCGGTGCATCGCCGATGCGGCGCGATCCTCCGACCCCAGCTACTCGGACCCCACCTGGGATGCCTCTGGAGGAGCACCGGCTCGTGGAGCAGAAGGCGATGCACGCGCAGAGCGCGTACGCGAAGGTGGAGAAGATCCGCGTCGATCAGGGGCGGCGCGTGGAGCAGCTGGAGGGGGAGCAGGCTTCGAAGAAGAAAGCAGAAGTGATCGGTATCGTTTAGCCGATCCCCATCTCTATCCCCATCCCCTTCGAGACCCCCACCAAATTACCACCCCAGTTGGGGATAATTTTCACCCCTCGAAACCCGAAGGGAACGACCTATATCCCCATCCAGGGGGGGGGGGTTAATCGGCCAGTGGGACCCCGGCCACGCCGCTGGGGATGGGGGTCGGTTAAACGGTTCTCAAGTGAGTCAAGCGCCTTCATATTTCAAGAGTCGATGGGTCCCCCCCTTCTCTCCGTAGGTTTGGCATCGCTCGGGCGCGTGCATTTGTTTCCTCGGCGAGGACCCTCGAAGGGCATCCTGGATCATCGAGCGAAGAGAATAAACACGCACACTTCTAACTAAAAAAAGGCACGGGAAACGGACGTCCGAGCGAGGGCAAGTAGGTGGTGGGCGGAAACCCAATGTATTTTCAACGCCTCCCTGCTTCTCTCAGGAGATGGCAAACATGGATCAAGGAGGCGTGGATTAGCGACGGGTCCCGTTTCCATTGGGAATCGCGGATTTCCGCCGCCGAACGAGGCTTTCCGCCGCCGAACGAGGCGGCACCGGCCGCACTTTGGGGAGGGCACCTCCCCCGACCCATGGATTTGGCGACCGCGCGCCAAATCCATGGATCGCCAGTCCATGTTTGCGCGCCCCCGACACAGGCTGCTGCGGGGTCCACGGTGTGCTCATGGCAGGGCTCGTGTCGGCTGCTCCGGCTCGATTCGGCTCGAGTTCGATCGATTCCGCTTCCGACTCGGTGCGACTTCGGATTCCATGTTTGCGCGCCCCCGATTCTCTGTTTCGACCCACTTCTGACCGATGGGCACACATGAGCATTTCCTCTCGGAGGCCCGTGCGGATCTCTCGGATCGGCGCAGGGCGCCCCTGGCGGCGCCGCCCCTGGCGCGCGCCAGTATACAGAGCTCATTTCGACTGGTCCCGCTCGATTCGATTGCGATCGATTCCGATTCCGATTCGCATTCCTATTTGGATTCCGATTTGGATCCTGATGTCTGAATGCAGGCCTCGTTGGCCTGCCGATGATCGCCGAGTCTACCTCTCTCCCGCCATCGCTGCCGATTCCCACCGATCCGATCCATTTCGAGCGCCGATCCGACTTGCCGATTCGATTCTGGAAGCTCCTAGGAAGGGCAGCTGGCGCGGGAGGAGGCGAGGAGGACGAGGATGCGCAGGAGAAAAAGGAGGAGGAGAAGGCGCAGGAGGAGAAGGACGGCGAGGAGGAAGACGAGGAGGAGGAGGAGGAGGAGGAGGAGGAGGAGGAGGAGGAGGAGCAGGAAGAGGAGGAGGAGCAGGTGCAGGAGGAGGAGGAGGAGAGGAGGAGGAGGAGGAGGAGGAGGGGAGGAGGAGGAGGAGGAGGAGAGAGAGAGGGGGAGCCGCAGGAGGAGGAGGAGGAGGCAGGCGACCGGTGGCGCAGGAGGAGGAGGAGGGCGAGGAGGATGAGGAGGCGCAGGAGGAGAAGGAGAGCGAGGAGGCGCAGGAGGAGAGAGAGGTGGCGGAATAGCGGGCGCAGGGGGCGGGGGGAGCCGACTCTGGCGGGGGGCAGCGCCGACCCGAGGGATCCGCGCGGAGTTCCGAAAGTTCAGGCTCGTGCCGTTGCGTGCTCCTACAGTGGAGGCCCATGCCAAGAGACACCCTGCTCGCCTCCAGGGTGCCCTGAGTCTCTTGGGCTTCGATGGTTTTTCAATGTCAAGCGCGACGTTCTCACCAAGAATCAGTGGACGTCCTGCGGTCTCAGGGTTGGATTTCTTGTGGAAGGTTTCCAAAGGACTTGATTCCTTGTGGACTGGCCTCCACTGCACCCTGCACAGGCCGCGGCGGAGCGGCAGGCGGAGCTCATCGAGGCGAGCGCGGGGGGGAATTCTGCCTGCTTCCCGCCTGCGGGTAACTTCTTCTCGGAGCCGGGCAACGACTGCCAGGGCCCGTCAGAAGACCGCTGAATCGGAGGTTGATAGACCTCCTACCCTGACACGTCGATTAGCGAATTGGCCGTTGTCGGTTCGCGGGAGGGTGTCGCGGCCGTCGTTCTGGCGGGTCCAGGTCCGTCGGTTTCGGTCCTGAACCGTTTTCACTAAAGGGTGGTTTACGAACGGGAGGTTTGTCCACCGCTGACTGAAGGCCGCCGAAAATGGCCCGAAGTCCGCCGAGGTCGGCCCAGGAGCGATGGGCAGGCGACACGGGGTCCATGGTCGAACACGTATGGCTGGGGGTCTGAGGTTCGGGGGAGCGTAAGACCCGGGTTTGCCGGGACTCGGGTTCGCCATCGTTTTTTGACGACCGCGCCTCGGATTTTGACGAGGAGGAGTTTCGTGGGATGTCTGCAGCGGGAGGCCTCGTCAAAATGCAGGCTCGGCCTCGTCATTTTTTTGACGACCTCGTCGGGGATTTCCGAGTCCCCCGTACCCGGGTCTTACGTCTCCCCGACAGGAGCGATGGGCAGGCGACACGGGGTCCATGGTCGAGCACGTCTGGCTGGGGGTCTGAGGTGGGCCTCCGGGGGCCGCCCTCGGGCCCCGGGGCCCGTGGGAAACGGATCCGGGCCGAGACGCTGCACCAGATGGACCCCGGGAGGGGTCAGGTGGCCGATTTCGAACGGATGGGGCATCATTCGGGCGAACACCGTCGCCGAACCCTCGCCTCGCCGTTACTCGCGCTCGCGCTTAACACCGTCGCCTCGCCGTTACTTCCCGATTGGGCTCGCCCTGAGCAGCGCGACTTCATCCACGACCGCATCATCTTTCGGGCGAAGAGAACTATGCACATGCACCGGTCCTGGCAAGGCCCATCCTTGACCCAGGATCGGTGCATATGCCTTCCTGGCCAAGGTAGGAGGGCGTATGCACCGATCCTGGGCTCAGGATGGGCCTGGCCAGAATCAGTGTATGTGCATAGTTCTCTTTCCTCTAATCATCCCCCCCCTCCGGACCGATTTTCTTGGGGTTCCCGCCTGCTCAGACCCCCCAGCCGCCTCCGAACTTGTCCGCCCCAAACGGGGACAGGCAACATAACCAGCACATGCCACGTGTAATTGGCGCAGCCCTGAAAACAGGGGAGGGGAGGGAGAACAGAAGGGAAAAGGGGTACTCCGAACTTCTGATTCATCAGCCAGGAGGTGACCAGCGTGAAAACGCGGGGCGGCCAATCCCCCCCGGCACCACCCCCGCGCCCCAGCAGGGAAGGGATTCGAACCCCAGACCCCCCCTGGCAACACCGTGGACGCGCCGCGGCCGACCCCCCGGGCACTCCAGGGGGGTGGGGGCGATTATGAAGCGATCCAGAGTAGGGAGAACTATGGAGCACGACAGAGATTGGCAGGGGGGGGGGCTGAACTGGAAAACGCGCGGCAGGACCAGTCGGACAGGCACAGAACTACACTTTCCGTAGCCATTTTGGCTCAAGCCATTTTGGCTCAAGCGTACAACGATTTTCACTTGGTAGGGGGACATATCTTCCCCTACCTTCCACCACGGCCCGATCGGTCTTCCGACGCGCTCTCCTCTTTGCACCATGGCCGTCTCGGACTCCATGACGGTGGCCCAGATGTTCGGGGAGCTCAAGAAGTCCATGATCACGCAGGGCAACATGGAGCAGACAGTCATGAAGGCCGTAAACTCAGCGGTCAGCTCCGTCATCAAGGAGCACATTGAGCCGCTCGCAGCCCAGCAGCGCAACTTCGAGAAGAAGTTCGACGACATGGCCAAGCGCCTCGAGTTGCTGGAGACCGAACGCAACGCCTCCAGCCCCTCTCGGGACGGGAGGCAGTCGAAGCGCCCACGCTCGTCGGGCCCCCGGTCCCCTCAATGCCGTCACTTCCCCTAGCACGCCACGACGAACCCCACCATCGAGCGCTCCATCAAGCTCACTGGCTTCAAAGGGCGCACCTCGCCCCCGAGGAAATGGTGGCCGTTGTCACCCCCCTCCTCGCCGGCGCCGACTTCGAGCGCACTTCGTCCAGCCGCCCCCGCGAGGACGAGGCCACCGTTGCATTCAAGAACGTCGACGCCCGGGACGCCTTCCGGAAGTCCGTGATCGGGCGCCCCAGCCCCACCCACACGGACTCCAACACCCACATCGCATCCACCTTGTACTGGAACCTCCCGGATACCAGGAGGAGCGGCACAAGAAGTTCGTGGTGCGCCGCCTCCTGGACGCACTGCCGAAGGCCTACCCCCTCCTCTTCTTTGAGGTCGACCAGCGCTCCGGCCGGATCTACGCCGACAAGATCCCCTTGGCGACCGTCTACATCAACTCCGACGGGGACGCGGCCCTCCGTTTCATGAACAGCAGCGTTACCTCCTTGCAGGTCGACCCCGCCGCCGTCGAGGCCACGGTTCGCCGCGCCGTCGCCGAGTGAACGGCAGGGACGGCCCTCGGGCCGCCCCTCCCGCTTCACCACCATTGGGGTTCAGGAGTCCACCCGGCATTCCTGTCGTAGCAGTCGGGCATGTCGGGCATGCGCGCCTCTCCGTCCACCCCCTTTTGCGGCGCCGGTGTCTCCATCAGTTGGAATGCCCGCGCCCTCTTCCCCTGCGACCCCGCCTTCTTCCACCGCGAACTCGACTTCTCCATCCGCCTCGCGAGCGAGGCGGACGTTGTCACGGTGCAGGAGGCCCACTCCAACGCCGAGAAGCCCACCGCCCTCTACAACCGCCTCCACAACACCCACGCCCGTTTCTGGTCCAACGCTGAGGACGACTCCACCGTCGGGGGCGTCGGGCTTGCCGCCAAGCGTTCGTTCCTGAAAATGTTCGGGGTATTGTCCCGGCCCGTGCTGCCCTGCTATCCGCCCGGGGCCCCGCGGGGGCCCTCGACTTATACAACTTGCATGTCGACCCCGCGTTGAACGCCCAGGACCGCGCCCAGTTCCTTGACACCGCCCGCGACGCCCTCACTAACGATGCGAACGTCCACACGATCGTCTGCGGCGACCTCAACTACGACAGCGACATCAACGACGGGAACGATTGCTCCCGCGGCCGCCTGCGTGGGAACGCCGGGGCCGAGCAGGGGCATTTTGACCGCATCTTCACGAGAAACGCGGTGCTCGACGGTCGCGACTTCACCCATCGCACGTGCCGCTCGGACGCCGTGTCGTCGTTCAGCAGGCTCGACCGGGCGCGCGCCTCCTTCCACCCCGCCACCTGCCAGGACTTCGTCTTCGCCGCCGCCGTCGTCCGCCCCATCTCCGCCCCCAACTTCACCATTTCCGATCACGTCCCTCTCATGTTCTCTATGCGTCCCTCCACCGAGATCCCGCGCCGCCCCATCCCCTCCCTGGTCACCCGCCACCCCCTCTGGCCCACCACCCTGGACGAGATCCTCGCCTCCTTCGGCGCCCCCGACCCGATCAACCACAACTGCAACATCAGTTTGACGAAAGGTCGCCATGCAACTCGCGGCACGACATGTCATTGACGTCGCTACTCATCACCACGCTCGGAATGCTGACAAAGAACTCTGGTGGCTCGTCTGGGCACTCAGGGCCGTCCGCCGTGCTGATGGTGCTGTACTTGATCGCTGTCTCATCGTCGCCCCCTCCCTTGCCGCCCTCCACGACGCCGCTGCTGCCGACCTTGCGCCTCTGCTCCGCCGCATCTCGGAGCTCTCACGGCGCTCGGCCGACGCGAAGCTCTTGGAGATCCAGGCGAACGCATCCCTTCCGGAGCACACCCGCCGTCAACAGCTCGATCGTCTCGCGCGTCTCGCCCGCGCATGGCCCCCCCCCCCCGACGCAGCGTCACGCTGCGCGGCATTCGCACGGACGACGGCGTCTTCATCGACAGCCCCCCGGACGTCTTCACCGCCGTCGCCGGCTATGGGGGCCCCGCGCTCGCGGAGAAGTTGATCGACGTCGAGGCCGCTCAGGCCTTCATCGGCCGTTGGTCACGGCAGTTCCCCTTCGAAGACTTCGTCGCCACGCTAGCTCGCGCGAGCGACAGCGGCTGCGGCCCTGACGCCGCGCCGCACTCAGCCCGGCGGTTTGCCAGCCCCCATGTTCACCGTGCGCTCTATGAGTGGTACTGCGCCTGGCTTCATGGCGAAAGCCTCGCCGACGACGCCAACCGCGCCCTCCTCGCCTTGGCCCCCAAGCAGACCGACCCGGCGGACGCCACCCACGGCCGCCGCCGCCACCCGAAGAACTTGCGTCCGCTCAGCCTGAGCAACGCGGACGTCAAGCTCCTGGCGCTCGCGCTTAACACCGTCGCCTCGCCGTTACTTCCCGATTGGGCTCGCCCTGAGCAGCGCGACTTCATCCACGACCGCATCATCTTTCGGGCGAAGGGAACTATGCACATGCACCGATCCTGGCAAGGCCCATCCTTGACCCAGGATCGGTGCATATACCTTCCTAGCCAAGGTAGGAGGGCGTATGCGCCAATCCTGGGCTCAGGGCGGGCCTGGCCAGAATCGGTGTATGCGCATAGTTCTCTTTCCTCTAATCTTGCAGAACGTGGTTGACATCGAGCCCCATGCACTTCGTGCCGCCCAACGCTCGTCGTTATCGGAAGGTGCTGAGCAGCTCGCGAACCCCGCCGCCGTTTTCTGCGACTTTGGGGCGGACTTCCCGTCGCTGGCACAGCGGTTTTCGCGGCTCCTCCTGGAGCACATCGGCACCCCCTTGCCGATCATCCTTGCCCTCCGCGAGCTGTGCCGGGACAGCGCACACCACGGGGAGTTCGATGGCGCCACCCGCCCCCTCTTCGAGGTTCGAGCAGGGTTGCCCATGTAGCACTGCCTTGTTTGTCATCGCCATGGGCCCGTTCATCGCTGCGCTTGCCGACTCCGTCGGCCCGTCGGCGCGCGCGTCTACGCCGACGATATTGCAGTAGTATAGAGGAACGGG